GGGGGGGGGGGGGGGGGGATCGCCCCTCGCCCACAGGATGAGTCAACTTGCGTTCCAGCGGCCAGTGGCCAGAATGCATCTTGGCTACGAGCGGGGGTGGGCGCGTCGAGCTCACTCGCCCGTGTGGGGCTGTGGATGCGTGAGCACCGGGCGCGGGCATCTTTCTGTCCGCCGGCGAGCCGCCCAACATGCTGCCGGAGGGGGCCCGGATGTGCCCGGGGGCAGGGTGGCCGACCGCGCCGGGTCGCCCCCACCAATGCCACAATGTCTTCCGTCTGGGCGGGCCGCGCCTCGGGTGGGGGGGGGGGCTCAAGGGGGCCCTGCTCCGCGGGAGCATTCGGCCCGTGGGAGAATGGAAATGGGGCAACCGCCTGCCGAGGGAGCCGAAAAAGTCAGCGCCCCACACCTTGGTGGCCCCAATGCCGGCCTTGCGCGAGCGCGCGAGAGGCCCGGCGAAGGCGCCCGTGTTTCGGGTGCGCCTTCTGACTTGCATTTCCGGCGGGCGGCCGAATCAGCCGCGGCAACGCGCGGTGAGGGCCCACGCACGCGGGTCCTCCCGGGGGGGGGGGGGGGGGGGGGGGGGGGGGACGCGGATGCGGCCCGTCCGCAGCAGGGGGTTGTTTACTTTTCCCGCCGCCCCCTGCCGCCGCCGCCGGTGTCAGTGGGCGGCGCCCGGTCGATCGGCCAGCAGCAGCCCTGCCGCCGGTACGTGCGCGCGCGCGCGCGCGACCTAGGCCGGTCGGCCAGCGGAGCGACTGACAATTGACGTTTTGCCGAGCAAGGCCCTCTCTTCACGGGGACCCTGGTCCGGTGGGACCGCCCATTTCTGGTGCTCACCCTTGTGAGGCATTCCCGGCCGGGGGAATGGTTCTGTCGGGCTTTGGCCCGCGAGCCTGTGTGTCCGGGCTCTTCTCATTCCAGCGGTGCCTGGACCGCACGTCCGGGAGGGCGCTTCGGCGGGGGCGGGTGGGGGGGGGGGGGTGGGGGGGTGGCTGAATCTTATCATGCGTCGATTCAGGTAATTAATTTTATGCGTTTGCTTGCGGATCTGTTTATTATTTTTGATTGTTATGGGTAATTTTTTCACTACTTCTCTCTGGCAGTCATGATTTCAGCGAATCATATTTATAACTTGATATTGCGAGAGAAGTTTGATGCCCCCCCCCCCCCCCCCCGCCCCGGCCTTGTCCGCTTCTCCCTCCTGCTGCCTGGCGGTGTGCCAGCACCATGGGCTGCCCCGCGGCCGGGCGGGGGCGGCTGTGCCCAGATGAGAGAAGGCCATGCTCCCCTATCGCCCCCCCTCGCCCCCCCCCCCCTTCACATCTCCTCGGAAGGGTCTGGCCCCCACCTGGGCGCCCGCGCGGCCCAAGCGCCCCATAGAAATCGCTTGCACCGTCTCGGCTGTTCTCCTGCCCGGACCCGCACCGCTGCTGCCCGGGCCTGCGGCCCCCCCCCCCCCCTGGCAGACACCCCCACGCATGTGGTTCACAATGCCAGGCCGTGCGGGCCTGGGCCCGCGCGGCCGGCGCCACCTCCGCCGAAGAAGCCGAGCGGCAGCGGAACGCGAGCAGGCGGGCGCGGGGGGAAAAAATATGGCCCGCGACCCCTCTCAAGACGGGTGCCCCTGGGCCGGGCGGACCCCCAGGGGCCGTGGGGCAGCAGGTCGCCCTCCCCGCCGGGCCCCCTGAGGGGAAGCCGGAGAGACACACACCCTCAACACTGGGTCG